ATTATCAATAACAAACTTTCTGTTCTTGTTCTGTATCAGTCTCAAAACAAGATCAAAAAGACATTTTGGCTGATATAGGATTGAATAACTTGGTTAGATGGACAGTTTTTGCAGTGTAGTCTATTTAAACACCTTGAAATTGGTCTCTGGGTCTTTAAGAACCTTCTACTGTTTCAGACACTCCCACTTCAGCACCAATTCACAACAATACCTCATTGGAGGGGTGCTCTGTGGGGTGAGAGCTCGGCTGCAGACTGAGCTCCAGGGAGGAGCTTTGTGTAAATAGGCGGGGCTTTGTGGAAATTGTACCAGCAAGTGTTTAGGCAGCTCCACGTGGCCACAGGAGATTCAAGAAATTCAAAAACCTAGGATGAATGAGTCAAAGCAACACTGTTTGTGATGAGGGGATGACATTAGAACATGATAATAAAAACCCATTTCTCATCACACCAGCCCTTTAATGCATGGCTTCAAATGAAGATGTTTAACTTTCTGTTAGCGCTCACAGTATGTGTTGAGGATAATCAAGGGTGTAAAGTACAGTAAATGTCAAATATTTTAAGACTTTTACTCCAGTAATATTCTTTGAAGAGACTTTAACTTTTAGTAAAACAATTTTACAGTAAGATTATTTGACTCAATCATCACTTTGTGGTAAAATAACTGAGTTAAACTTATTTTTCTGTATAAGGTCAGAGTTTTTGTTTTGTCTGAGTTCTGTAAATTTTAGCAAAAAAATAAACTTTTCACAACAAGGTAAATGTGTCATAACATCAGAAAAAAAACCCCACAAACCATCTTTTTTAATGCTAAACTTTATTTTGGTAGAACAGGAAGTAAAGTAGAGCTAAAAGCATGATTTCTAAAAGCCGATCCCATCGCTCCGAGCCTCGTCGCTCAGAACCGACCCAGCTCTGAAATATGATCAGTTGTTCGGCTGCAGCAGAACCAGAGACAGAAAAGCTGGACGGATGTGGACTGTTCACTTCCTGACGCAGACAAATGGTAAGCCATAGTTGCAGGGATAGTCGTACCAGCACCTGCAGTCTGCAGCCGTCACAAACATGCAGATTAGAACTTCCTAAAGATTATCTCTGTGTGGGATTATAATCCTGGCAGCTAAATTACCTGAGACGTTCATCACCAGACAGTTCAGACCGGTGTTGGTCCTCGGAGTTCCTGAGCAGAACTTCTTAAAACTGAAGCGAGAGCCGTCACTCCAGAACCAGTACTGCTCCTGAAAAACAGCCAAARATCAGCTGAATGACAGCCGAAGTTTACTGAAGAGGCTGAAATATTACAGTTCAGTTATACTGAACTAACAGCTAAACTGTAGCTTTATAGGAGCTTAATGGTAGTTAAATGCTAATAGCTACTTAGCACATTGCTCCAGGTTGACTTTAATATTTTGATAAATTAAAAGTTAAAACAACACAAAACGTTCAGAAGTTGAGTCAAAAAAAATTAATAAACACTAAAGCAAAAATTGAATGCTGACTCAGCATTATCACAAATAAACTCAAACACTTTTAAATAACAGCTAAAGAAACACTTTTTAAATCAGATTTGTTCTGCAGGTTTTAAAATATGAAATCATATGTGAGCCATCACATCGAAACGAGGATTAAGTCCAAAAGTGGTGTGTGGAGAAATAGGTAAATATAGTGTTTTGACTAAAATGTTAACAAAAATTGCATTTAGTCAAAATATAATGAATAAAAGCCTTATTAATGTATCAGTTGAATGAACCGCCTCAAATATAATCATAAAACAAAATTAGGAAGCACTATTTTGAGCATTAGCAACAAAAAAAAAAAACAGATTTTGAGGAAAAACGCCTCAAATTTTTCAGATTTTCCCTGTGAGTTAACAAAGTCTTGTTTCTTTTTAGCTGGGAAATCTCAATATTCAAATATAATTTGAGGTTTCCTCTTTATAAGGACATCAAAAATTCCTCATTAAAATTACATCAAATTAGGATTCAGACCAAATATTTATGTTTTATTGTAACCAACAAGACACATTGAGTCATATATGTGGATTTATGTATGATATCAGAATGATCCAGGTGTCAAAATGTAGCTTTTAAAGCCAAGAATCTGAAAATGTAATTAGGTCATTTTGACCAAATGTGACTTAATCCTCATTTTGATATGATGGGTCACATATGTGATTTTGTCATCATATATCTAAAGTAATAATAAATGTTATAAAATAAAAGTGTTAGATGTCTCTAATGTCGTGTCAGACGTACCTGTTGGCTGTCAGAACCTCCGATCCAAGTCACAGGGTATCCATTGGTCCTGCTGTGGATGTAACTCTTCAGCCAGCTGTGCTGAGCCGCGCTGTGGACAGAAGCAAGGTTTCCTCCCTGAGACACACAGTAGTTCTGCAGTGATGAGAGAAAACATGATGTCAGCAAATCAACCTTCACTTTCACCAAACGCCTCCAAGAAATAAAGAATATTTTTATTTCTGTAGAACAGCTGATGATTTATTTGTTCATTTAGTTTATTTTTCTGCAGAAATGCTGTTAAATAAAGTGACCTTCAGGTCTCATCCTGTGGACCACAGGAGCGCCCTCTAGTGGTCGACAGAGGAACATTTGATGTTTTCTGTCTGCAGGTTAGAAACCATTTCCTCCATTCATCATCTCCTCACACTTTAACCTCTGAATATTCAAAATAAACAGAAGNTCTGTTTGTAAATAAAGTCCCACTTTGCGCTAAAGTTCTTTTTATAAAAACAGATTAGCACTTTATAAACAGGTTATGTAAGAATTTGTAAATGAAGCATCAATTTCTAAAACAGTTTGTTTATCTTCTGGACACAAATAGAAACAATTTCTACAAAGAACATCCCTCTCCTTTCATGAAATAACATTATTTTCTTGACTTTTAATTATTGATCCATTCTTTAGAAGAAAGTTAGCTTTACCTTTCTGTTTCCAGTAGTGAACCAGTCCAATAACCACCAAGAGCAGAACCACTAATGTAACACACAGCCGGATGATTGTTGTAGAGAAATGACCTAAAAACAAACAAAAAAGATAGAAGAAACACTTATTTCAGCAGAAAACATCATAAGGGCACCCACCTGCAGTTGAGCCGGTGGGGGAGCTCTCCGGTGAGGGTCTTGTGGTCCAGCCTTGGCTTCCATGGGTCAGCTGGGATAAGCCTGAAACAGTGACAGTTTTCAGATACTCTCAAGCCCCCCAACAGAACGCCTCACTGATGGAGGTTTTCCTAGTATGTCAGAGAGTTGCCTCTTCGTGTCTTCAAGCAGCAGGCGTGAAGGTTCTGACTGGTGTTTGTGCTTATGCACCAAACAACAGTTTTAATTACCCAGCCTCTGCATGGGGTCCTGGAAGGGGTGCTGTCTGAGGATTCTGTTCTACTGGGTGACTTCAATGTCCATGTGGGCTTTGACAGAGTTATCTGGAAGGGGGTGGTTCGAAAGAAAGGCCTCCCCAGTTGACACTTCAGTTGTCAACTGATCACCACCTGGTTGTGAGTTGGATACTGTGGGGAGAGAGGCTGCCAGACTGACCTAGTAAACTCAAATGTATAGTGAGGGTGAAGTGGAAACATCTAGGGGATCCTTCTGTCCCTGCAATCTTCAGCTCTCACCTCTGGGAGAGTTTTTCACAAGTCATGACATAGAATCCAAGTGGGCCATGTTCAGAATCTCTGTTCCAGGAGCTGTGGCCTGAAGGTCATTGGTGCCTATTGCAGAAGCAACTAAAGGATGGTCTGCTGGACACCAGGGGTGATGGAGACCGTTAGGCTGAAGAAGAGGTCTTCAGAGATTGACTTTCCCAGATGACCCCTGAAGTAGACAATGGGTAGAGGGTGGCCAGAAAGGTTGCAACTTCAGTGGGTGCAGTGGTTGGGCATGGGAGGAATTCAGGGATGCCATAGAAAATATATTTTGGATAGACTCAAGGAGATACTAGAAAACCATTTGATGACTCAGAAAAGGAAAGTGTTCCCTGTCCTGGGATGTGCAGCTGACCCAGACTGAGGATATTGTTAAATGGTGGAAGGAACACTTTGAGACAAAGTCTGATGACTCAGAGCAAGATCAGTCCATTACCACAACAGAGGTCACCAAGGTAGTTGACGGAACATGAGGCTGGCAGAGGCTTGGTGTCCTCTGTGTGTTTTCAGAAGTGTTTGTAAGGGAAACACTGGTTTAACTCCCTCCAGTTGTGCTGGTTCATTTTGATCTGGTTAGTT